TAAATATATTAATTAAAAAAAAAATTATTCCTTCTTCTAAGTGAACTAGAAAGAAAAAAAGCCTTACTGTGTATGGGTGTCTGTTACTTACAATGGTCTATGTTGGCTTTGTAGAGAAGACGATATATTCAATAGGATCCCTAGCCTTAAGAAGTTGCAATTTAGTCTAGAAGAGAGTGTGTGTGTCCCAGAATAACAAGAGAACATTACAGCTGGAAAGGACTTCAGGAGGAACGATGCTCAAGCCCTTCCCTCATTTGAAGTTCAGAACGGTTCACAAGGAACAAACAGTACGAACACGAGTGTTACGGATTGAATTGTGTCCCCCTAAACTATGTGTTGTAAATCCTAACCTCTATGCCTGTGGTTATAAGCCCATTTGGGAATGGGTTTTCTTTGTTATGTCAGTGAGGCAGGATTAGTGTAGGGTGTGTTCTGAGTCAATCTCTAAGCATCATGGGGTTGGATCATAACGCCACCTTGAATTTGTACAGCGCATTTTTCTCTCAAGTTTTGATGCTAGGGCTTCCCACTGAGTCCAAGGTTACAAGATGGAACAGCTGAACAGTTTAAAGGAAAGAAAATACAACCTTCCCAGGCTCCAGGATCAAGCAAGTCAATGGTTTATTTGCATCACCAGCTTCCTGGGTGACAGGGATTAGCATTCTGACATTAAAATAATTATGTCAGTATCTTTTGGGTATTGCAATAAAATTTCATCTTTTACAAAAAACTGGGATACTCAAATTCAGCAAACAGATCATGCACTTGGAGTCAGACAACTGTTAGACTGCAGGCTTCAAGCACGCAGGGTCCTTATCTGTATTTTTAATCACTGTGTGTTATAGCGGCACTTCCATAGAAGGCATTCAAAAATTACTCAATGAGTGAATAAATGAATGAATTTCTCTAACCTGCTGTCTGACACTGCACAAGTGATAAACTTTTTTTCTCTATAAACCTATGAAATGAACAAAAATGTTTTTGATACTTTTTAAAAACAGCTGAGATTACACTTTGGGTGATAATGTATCCTGCTCTTTTCTGCATAAGAGAAAACAGCAATGTCTCAGGTAGTAAGCTATTGCTTTATGTAGCAAAATTATTTCAGGTTTGAAAAAAGCCTCCCAAACCTAGAAAGGTTTCATTTACCCATTTGTCTCTATTAATGAACTAAATTAGCATAGACATTTCTAGTTTTCTATCAGATTCTGTGTTAATGATTTCATTTTGTGTTATGTACCTACTTGTTTAAAAAACAAAATAAGTGCTTCCCTTGGACTGGCAATGGTTATCAAAATCAGGTTCCACCAGAACCCATGCAAGAGAAGTGGCAAGAAAATGAGAGCAGAGAGACAAGAAACAGTGAAAACGTGACAAAGAAAGAAGAGGGTAGCAGACCTAAGAATAGTGGTAGAAAGAGTTACAAACAGTAAAGAAACCTGTAAGAGGCAGAGTCACTAACAGGGAGAAATGATAAGATTTAGGAAGAGAACAGAGAAGACTAACTAGGGCAGCCCAGCAGTGGACATATGCAATCTACAAGCCTCAGTAGATCCTGAGGTGTGACTGTGTTACAGCCCTGAGAAATACTCTTCATAAGCTTTATTTAGTTAGTAAGAAATTATGTTCTGTATCCCCTGTTCACAAAAGTGGGGAAGCATAAAAAAATTTCAAAAATAATTCAAGTAAAATCAGCCAACTGTGGCAGCAGAGTCCCAAAAAGGCCAAGAGCTTCACCTGATTCCTTGCTGCATCTTCAACACCTGATAACGTGGAACACCCTTAATAGCATTTTACTGAAAGCAAGAAACATCGACTGCTTGGATTAAAAAAAAAGTTTGCACTTACAAGCAAACACTATTATCTGGACATTTTACTTAGCCCAAAACTGCATTCTTAAAGTATTTAGGAAATACTAGGCATTATAATTTTTAGTTCTGAAATTAAAAAAACTCTTTTCCTGAAATAGGCTGATTTTATTAAAGTGTATTTCTTAGAATGGAGAAGGGAGAGTAAGTGTTCCAAAAGTAAATGTTTAACATTAAATGTTTAACAATCTGGTTAGAGTTAGCAAGCAAAGTAAGTAAGTTTTGTTAATTACATAGCTTCTGGGTCCTTAAAACAGTTTGAGTTAACAGACCAATAGAATTTTAGGAAAGGGCTCCATCATATATAAAAAGTAACTTCACAGTAAATACAACTTTAAAATTTAAATACATAGTTTCCACCTCTAGCTGTTATCTAAATAGGAAAAATTGACATTATGTCATGAGTTGAGGAGGGATATTCCAGTTAATTGTAATACAACAATATTATTTCAACAGTTAATGTCCATCTTAAAATGTTCTATAACGTAGAAGACACAAGAGGAGCTCGAATTCTTCTTCACAATTTACGCCTAAAAAGGTAATACTATACCATAGGGTTTTTACCCATAGAGTCAATTTGGTTATTGGTAAAGAAGCAGTCAGATAAAGGTAACCTATCTGGTATTACAGACAGACGTGATTACAGATGGGACCTTTGTTTTAAGAACTCCCTATACCAGAGGTCTGGTTAAAATAAACAGAACTACCTATATGGGATGAAACTGACATCAGCAACTCAAAAGATTAGACAGGAAACTTAGGGGACAATGAGCTTATGTTAATGGGGGAGGAACAATTTGGAAAAGGAGGGTGAGAATGGTTGTGCAACTAGAAGAATGTAATCAATGTCACTGAATTGTACAGGCAGAAATCGTTGAAATGGTGTATGTTCTGCTGTGTATATTCTCAACAACAGAAATAAAACAAATTATTAAAAAACAAACAAGAAAATGAGTACTACTGGGCCAAATGTTTTACTATTAGTTCTACTTAATTTTGCCAACAAAAAAATTGAGAAGAAAAATCATAGTTCATGGAGAACTGACTATAAATGGCAATAAGGGAAGCTAGACCAGAATGGTTGTAATTATCTTAAAAAGGTCTTCACAGGCTTTATTTTCACATATATTTTGTTGTCTACTTTAACTTTGTTACTTTTCCATTTTCCTTTTGAAGTCACTTTTCTCAGTGATAATGCTGAGCTAGGGAACAATTGGTATAATAGCACTTAAATGCCAAATTGGGGAGGGCGTGGGGGAGACAAGGAAGAAGAAAGGTAGCTAGTATCCTAATTTTCCAAGCAGGAAAAATAGACTTTGGTAAAAACAAACTCCATGAGCCTGGGAACTGGTGGAGTCAGTATGTAAACTAAGGCTATCTATTTTACTACATCAAGTCTGCTCTTTCCACCATACCAGGTGACCATCCTGAGGGGCTGTAGTTTTGATATGGCTTTTGGCTTTTCTTTTTCTGAACTTTTTTATTGTCTTATCAAACAAAGGAGAATGGTCATCTTGATTTTTTTTTTTTTTTTGGTTTTTATTTAGTTTCATTACTGTTTTCTTTAGAGAAACTTGAACATTAAATTATTTATAATAATATGACTTAGTCAAGTAGTAAGTTTTAAGTTTGTTCAAACCTAGACTCTGAAAATTAATACTGTAAGAAAGAAAAAAATTACAGCACGCAACTTAATACCTTAAAATTTTATACAGTATGTCCTGGTCTTAGTGTATTTTAAAATGTTTCCTCCATTCTGTTAGACTGTTTTAAAGAATTTTTAAAAATATACTAATAAAAGGAAGAAATAGTGAACACCTACTGTATTTTATCCTCTAGATGTATGAAAAGAAACATGAGATTTCCTTAAAAGAATGTGACTAATCTCATCCAGATCATAATTCCTGGGACTGCCATATAAGTCACAGGAATGTAAAAACTGGTGTTCATAATATTTACTGTACCCAGAGGCATGCAATATGACTTCTTAAAGTATAAACATAATAATGGTTAAAAGCTATTTTGTTCAACACATGTAAATAAATATAACTAGTAATGATTAAAAGTTCATGTTAACTAAAATTTACCCTTGTGTTTGAGACCAGAGAAAACTTACAAAAACAAGGCAGTATTTAGTGTACATATCCTTCTTAAATTTCATTATACTTAGATTAGATCTTTAATTTACCTCTGCAATCTCTATCCTTTTTGCAAGATCATCAAGGGACAGACAGCTATCATCAGAAGGTAGGTTCTCCTGTAAACTATAGGATGTTTCTTCAGGAGAAAGATCTTGAAGGGGATCAGAGTCTTCCTCTTGGTTATCTTCATATGAAAGGGAATCTTCAGTATCTTTTAAGCATCCTTCTAAAAGGCTGTTCAAATAATCTTCTGTTTCTTTGTTGACTTCCTCGTCTTTATCTCCCTTTTCCTCTGGGGCCATATACACCTCTGGAAGCACTGTACTCAAGTCAGATATTTTATTATTTTCACAAAGTTCACTCTCAGAACCATCTGAGTCAGTCTGACCCCGTGGTGATTTTCCATCTCTGTCGGTGAGGTCAGGTTGCTGCAGCTCATTTAATTTATTGTTCTCAAGCTGGTCTGTGGGCAACGCCTCACAAGCATCCTGAAGAGGCAATAAGAGTCCCTTTCTTTCAGTCTGTGGGTATTTATCCTCAGAAATCAATGTAGGAGGTATATGTTCACAGCCTGGTAAAATCAACGGCTCTATCACTGACTCGCTGGAAAGGAACACCTTAGGGTCTTCGACAACGCCCTCTATTCTGGCTACATCTTTGCAGGCCTCTGTTTCAGTCAGCTGTAAGCGACTGTCATCCTGATGAGGATTCGCAAAAGAGTCTGGCCCAGACCTGCTCCTGGCTGCCTCTGAGGACTGGGTGTGGCACTCCAGTGTGGCTTCAGTGCTGCAGAGCAGCTCCTCCGTGTGGTGCTTCCCTGTAGTTGCCAGGAGGCTGGAGGAATCTGCCTGCCGGTCCATCTGATCACAGCAGGGGCTGCTTTGCTGGGTCTCTCCTTTATGTTGGCTTTCTTCACTGAGTTCCATGCCCAGACAAGTTTCACTCTCTAAAACAAAGAAAAAAAGTTGTCTTAAGATTCAAAATGACTATGTATAGAAGGGAAGAGAGGGGACACATGAATAATATCTGTAACACAACAATATTTGAATCCTCTCAAATGGAAATTCTATCTGATGGATAACAGTGCCTTTAGGTAGGGGAAATATCCTAAATAGTTAGTAAATAATCCATTACATATCAAAATGAATAGAGATTACTCAAAAACATGCTAAAAATACAAATACATAATTTTAAGTTTTCATTGTAATTGAAAAAGTCCATTTTTGAAAGTTTAAAAGATACACTTTTTAACTTTATTAGTTTTTTATATGATTTACATGAATACTTTAAAGTTTAGAAAAATTGTTTCAGTACAGGTACCCCCAACTTATGATGTATTTCAGTTATGATGAACCGCACTTATGAATGTCCTTTTTTTTTTTTTTTTTTGCACATCTTATCATTAGTACTTTTCCTGGGAGGAAGTTACAGGAAAATCCATACAAAGAGATATGGAAACAATTGCTGAGTTATGTGAACACACTTCAAGTATTTGATTAGGATAATATGATGGAAGAGATGGGTGGAAAAATTGTCCATAAGGCAAGAAAGCTGAATTTAGGACTTGATATCCCCAGTGTGGAACAGCTCATAGACCACGAACAAGGGGCACTGACAGATCAGGACTTAATGGATTTTGAAGAGGAAAGAAATGCTGAAGAAGAGAAAGAATGAGGAAGAGGAAGGAGAGAAGCTGTCAAAAAATTTTACAGTGAAAGGATTAGCTGAATTTTTTCTAAACTAAATTAGGGACTTAAGTTGCTTGAAAACACAGACCCAAACACTGATCACTTTGCTAAAGTTGACAGGTAGATTCCGGAAGTAGTGAGATGTTACCGTGGAATATATGAAGAAAAAAGAAAAGGACCATACAGACAACTCTCACTAGTTTTATGACTAGAAATGCCATCTCCATTCCCAGAGATAATCCAGATGATCCAGAATCCTCCACAAGTGGACTTATTACCGCAACTGACAAAATGCCGTTGTCCAACTGTTCTTCACTGTCACAGTAAATTTTTATGATTCATGTATTTTTTATGTATGTATTAAAATTTATCTGTAAGTTTATTTGTAATGTTTCCAACCCCAAAAGACAAATAAAGATTGGATTTATAAAGATACTGATAATAAAAGGCAATAATATGAAAACAAAAAAAAAAAGAGTTATTTGACTAACATCAGAACTCACTTATGATGGAGTTGTCTGAACAAAGCCCCATGGAAGTGGCGGGCTACCTGTATATTTTAGACATGGCATTCTAAGTAAATATTTTTACATGATGAAAAACAGTAATACCTGATTCTGATCTACCAAGACTGAATTAAAAAACATAATATCCTTAATTTATGTGTTTGCAAATTACTTGCAACTTCTTAAAGGGAGGCAGCACAGGGTAGCGGTAAAGCTTCAGCACCAGACAGAACTAGGTTAGAATTCTGGCCTCTTTTTCAATTTCTATTTTAAATAAAATCAATTTAAAATATTTTTACTTCACTTTAAGCAGTGAAAAATCTTCATATATACTGAATGGTAATGCATAAGCTGATTGGCAGATAACAGAGAAGTTTGCTCCTGACTCAGTTTATCAATCTGGTTAGCATTCCTAACTATCACAGAAGTTTTAACTTTTTCTGTAGTCATACGTTGTTTTTATACAAATAACGGGCCAAGGGTTAAAATCAAAGATAAAATGTTGTGATAATTATATTCTGTTTGGTCATTTATTTACTGGTAATTTTACAATTATCAATTGATAACAAAGGGCTGTACCTGGAGCCCTGAATCAAAGTAAAGGCATTTAAGTATCCTGTCCTCTGGCTGCAGAGAAGCCGGGACTGAGGTGAGCCACCTCAACTCAGGACTGCTGAGGGGCACCAGTTCACCAGAGTTTGTACAACGTCCTCCCACCGATGGCTCAATTATCTGATAAGGACCAGGAAAAAGAAGAAGAGGTCACTTTTTGGGAGAGTACAGCGTTCCTTCCCTCTTCCTACTCCAAAGAATCACTCAGTTCGGGAGACTAAGAAAATGGACTTTTCACTCCTCATAGGTTGTCTGCTTAGCCATTGAGCTTGGCGAAAAGGGGCTACATCTCTCCCTCAAAAATTTCCAGTAACCAAAGTTTCAGAGAATGTCCCACAGGCTACAGAGTAAATGAAATTGAGGTCCACATTCTCATAGGTACTGTATGATTAAAGCATAGGGCCGAGAGAGCCCCACATCAGGGGAAACGGGTGTGCTGTCCCTATTGGGCAGTTCTACTCTGTCCTATAGGGTCACTGAGTCGGAATCGACTCAGTGGCAATAAGTTTGGGTTCCTAGCTGAAGGTCAGTTACCTAAAGATCCGCAAATATCTAGGACAGCTACTTGGGAGCAAAGTTTTCCTCAGTTGGCCCTGCTGTAGCCACCACACATCCCTCGTAAAACCCAACCTGGGTTCAGTCATAAGCCTTAACCGAGCTAGCTCCAACTGTGAGCAAACCGTACCCCCTGACCTGGAGGGGGAGAGGGCAGGGAAGAGCTTTGAATAAAGTGAGATTTAAGTGTTAAAATGAAGTTCTGAATTCGACTGAGTCTTAAAGAATCAGAGTTAGACTACTAAATAGTTATAAGCCACTAAAAAGTTACAGAATCAAGACTCTGATATCAGTGGGAGTTGACTGCAGTTACTAGCTCTAACTGGGCAAAAAACAACCATTTGAAGTACAGTATCTAATGAACTGAGGAGCCCTGGTGGCGCAGTGGTTAAGAGTTATGGCTGCTAACCAAAAGGTCGGCAGTTCGAATCCACCAGCTGCTCCCTAGAAACCTTATGCAGCAGTTCTACTCTGTCCTATAAGGTCACTGTGAGTCGGAATCGACTCGACAGCAACACGTTTGGTTTTTTGTTGAGATACCACTTAAGTGGTGACTGATGAAGACTATCCATAGCTACAATGTATTATTTATAAAATAACAGCCTGAAAGTGGTTTTCATCTCATTATCTAGAAACAATACAAAAAATTATGAAAAAGAAAACATGTAATTTAAGACACAAAGGGCAAGAGTTCCAAACTAGCTCATGAGTAGCTGCAGTTTATTTTTGATGTCATACAAAATTTAAGTTATATTTTTAATACTTATTAACTCTCCAAATCAAACATGATGTATACTATTAAAATTTTTTTGTGTGCCAAATTATGACTTTCCTTACATTATTACAGTAAATTAAGTAGTGAACATCACTTGGTTAAATGAGGAAAAGCTATTATCTTTACAGGTAATGAAAAACAGTTGTCCCATGCCTGACCCTCTCTACCTCTGTCTCATTGCTGCTCTCTAGGGGCAACCACTTTCAGTTCCTTTAGCTGTTTCCTCTCATATTTATCCTCCACATTTCTAGATAACACTTATATTATTTCTTGATCTTTTGGTTTTAGGTACCACCTACTGACTTCTTACTATAGAAGAAGAGAATTAGTTCTCTCAGTTCTTTTGATTCCTTTCCCCCTAATGATGCATACTCTCCCACTCCCAGCTTCTCATTATAGTTCAACACAATTCTGGGGTGAATCAATGATTACATTACGAGGGCTTTGTAATATTATTCACATATAATCTACATGTGTACTGTGATAAATTTTCCTTTCTCATTTAAGCTTTCTTTTCCTCGGAGTTGATAATTGCCTCATTACTTCATTTTTTTACCTTTATCTATATATCTCTAAACTCTGGTGACACACGTACAAATAGATAATTTAGCATTTTAACTTTTTTTAAAAATAAATATCCCTCTCGAATCTCTGACGTGTTCCAATCTGCACTACTTGCTCTCCAGGCCTGCTATGCAGGCATTGTCCTTGAATTTCCCTACACTGTGATCCCAGGAATTTCCTTGATTATATGTTGTTGTTAATTGCCATCAAGTCAGCTCCAGCTCATGATGACCTTAGGTATAACAGAACAAAACATTGCCTGGTCCTTGCCATGTTCATGCTCACTGGTATGTTTGGGTCCACTGTTGTGGCTATTGTGTAGTGCCTTCCAACTTAGGGGCTCATCTTCTGGCACTATGAAACCAAAATCAAAACCCACTGCTGTCGAGTTGATTCTGACTCATCGCAACACGACGAGACAGAGCAGAACTGCCCCGTGGGGGTTTCCAAGGCTGTAATCTTTACAGAAGCTGACTGCTACATCTTTCTCCCCTGGAGAGGCTGGTGGGTTTCAGCTGCCAACCTTTCAGTTAGCAGCTGAGCACTTAATCACTGCACTACCAGAGTTCCTCTTTTCTGGCACTATATTGGGAAATATTCTGTTGTGATCAATGAAATAACGCTTGCATTTTCTCATGATGTGCAGAGAATTAGGAATTATCGTTGGAACAATACCTGAGTCACACAAACAGTTAACAGGCTCGACTGCTAACGAAAAGGTTGGTGGTTTGAGTCCATCCAGAGGCACCTCGGAAGAAAGGGCCAGTGATCTACTTACAAAAAAAAAGAAAAAAAAATTGTTCTACTCTGACATACATGAGGTCACCATAATTGGGACTCAACTTGATGGCAACTAGTTTTTTGGAGTTTTTTTGTTTCTTTTAACCTTCATTAGTAAAGAGTATAAATATTGCATATTAAAGCATCCTGGTGTCTGCAGTGGTACCAAACTCAGAGGTGGAACCAAACTCATTCCATAAATAAGAAATTGGCAGACTACTCCATTATGCTTTTCTATCAGAGAAGATGGTAAAATGTAATGATCTATAGGTTCACCAGACACACAAGTTTTTGTAACCTACTAGGAAAAAGGCAATGAAAGTTTCAAGGCTAAAAATCATGGCTGTTAGAATTCCTTAGCAGGTCAAATATGCATGCAAATAAATTACCAATCTGTGAAAAATATCAAACTACAAGGTTTAAGAAAAAAATTTAATGTATTTCACTAATTCACTGTTGTTGTTAA